CGCTGACCGCCTCCATGACTTCCTGAGCAGGTCTGCTGAACCAGGCTGGATCAGGCAGGGTTCAGACCTTCTACTCTGGCATCTTCTGCTCCAAATCCACTCCAGAAATTTCCACTTAGAGTCCGGATATTAAAAGCAGTCCTGTGGAGGTTCGTGGAGCCGCTCCAGTCGATGTTTCTCCTTTTCAAACAGTCTAAACTTCAGATTAAAGTTCAGGTAAAGTTCAGGTGAACTGGGTCAGAACTTTCCCCGCCGCTCTGGGACCATAAAGCCCATTAAACTGTGAGTAGAGGTTGTGGGTTCGGAGGAAAGTCCATCAACGGTTTGCTCAGAGGTTGGAGCAGCAATCAGCAGCAATCAGCCCCTCCGCTCCGCTGCTGCCTTCCTAATGCTCACCCAGCCGCGCGCTGATTGGGTGTCACCTTACAGCGAGTAGACACGCCCCTTTGCTCTTTCCTCTAGTCACGTGACACCCATCGATCCCAGTCAGTTGTTCGATGTAAACAAACCATTTTGAACCACTTCTGTTAAACCCTGTTTAGTTTTTGGGTTTTCTGAAGGATTTTTGTTCTAAACAAAAAAAAAAATCTTCTAAAATGCCGCTTTACTCTTTGATCCCTCTAGTTTTACTTTATTTTCCGTTTCTGTTTTTTCTCCTTACCTGGACCCAGACCTCAGTCCACATCTCCCCAGTTGATCCCGGTTCTGGTTCTGACTGGTCTCCCCACCTTCATCAAACCTGAACTGAAGCAGATTGGAGCAGAAACACTGCCATCTGCTGGCAGAAACACCAGCTGCAGTTCAACATGCCATGATCTGCTTATCTGTTCTCCATTTTTATTTTTATAAAATACATAATTAATGTGCACAAATAAGGAATAGTTGTATTAACCATACATGGAAACAGAGTCTTATGTCTTAGGCAGCTGCCTAGTATGGCCTAATGGTTGGATTTTTTTCTGAGAATTAGGAATAATTTATTGTGAAGTATTTTTTATTTTTTTTACACATTAACTAGTTTTATTGATGAGGTGCAACACATAGATATACAGTTAATATAAACAAACACAAAAAGCAAAAACCTAAAATGAACGAATGAAGATCACTGTGGCATTATTAAACAATATGATAGAGATATTATACATCCTCCCCCCCACCCCCACCAAAGGAACATGTTTAATCCAGGTGTGTCCACTAATTAGCATCATAAATGTCTACAGTCTAGTAACCAGTCAGTGGGCTTATATATAAGGCTACAGATATTCACTGTGCTGTTCGGTGACATGGTGTATACCGCACTTAACATGGACCAGAGGAAAAGAAAGAAAGAGTTCTCATGTTATTGTCTACTTTTAAGGCTAGGCTTAAAACTTTCCTTTTTGATAAAGCTTCTAGTTAGAGTGGCTCAGGTTATCCTGATCTATCTCTATAGTTCTGCTGCTATAGGCTTAGACTGCTGGAGGACATAGGGACCCCTTTTTCATCATTCTGCTTCATTCTATCTCTATTCTCCCACTCTGCAGAATCTGTTAGTTCAATCTCTAACGTTCTGCTCTCTCTGCTTTTTCTCATAGTAGCTTCATCTGGTCTGTTCCTGTTTGGCTGTGACTCCATCCTGGAGAGAAATATCAGCTGTGCTGCTGCCATCAACACCTTTGTTTCTAGATGTTGGAGCTTGGCCTGTTTTCCAGTGTAGTCCTGTTTCTCTGACTGTGACTAACTGGATGTGCTCTCTTCATCCTCTGACATGGGAGCTGGCTCAGAGCCTTGGATAGAAAACTTTGAATCAATCTGACTGGATGATCTGGTTGAATTTTCTCTTTAAAGTGACCCGAGATGACATGTGTTTGAATTGGAGAAATAGAAATAAACAGAATTTAAACTGAATCAAAGATAAAGACTATCACATCATCTCTTCTATGAACACTAACCTACTGAACATCTTTGGAAGGAGCGGAAACAGGCCGTACGGAAAAGGCAGTTTTTAAAGCTGAGGTTCATGGAGCCGTTTGCTGATGATGAGGGGAGCAGAACAGCTGCTGGGAGGAGCAGAGGGCTGAGTGACAGGAACCGGAACCAGAGATTGACTCTAAAGGCTGGACAACTAAACATTATGTTAAAGTTACCATCTGTTTTGTCCAGGTCTATTTGATGAGTTTATTTTTTAAATCATTCTGTTGAAAAATTATTGAAAAAAATTTAAATTTGTTCATTTAAAAATAAATATTAGTTTTTATGTCCGAATCAAGTTATGTCAGTGTTTTTTGTTTGTTTTTTTTAAATGAAGGGAACCAACAATTGTCTCAAAGTGTTTATTTATTTCTGTTTTGTCTTATTCAGTGGGAAAAGTCTGAGGAAAACTTTGCTGAAATAAAAATGACTTTGGAGAGGATATTTTATTATGATTAAGCATGGGAACGAATGAATGAACACAAACATGATTATTCGTCTTGCTTTCTTTCTTTTGCAGTCGAGCATGTATCAATAAGAAAATGAATTCAGTAGATTTTATAAAACGGTTTCTAAAAGTTTAATATGTTAATTCAAATTCAACGCTGTCAAAACGACTATGACAGGTTTAATTATTATCTTGCTTTTCTTTTTTGACGTTCAGTTGGATGTAATGCTGTATTTTTACCAAAAGATGGTGACAACGAGCTAAACTGCAAAAATGTTTCAGGGTGAAAAGTATAGTGGAGGATTTTCACAAATGTTTTGAAAATGCCTGCCCTCTCCAATGTTAAAAAACAATGCATAGTCTCAACCCTGCACCCTATTAAACCCGTGCGAGAGCCCATTTCTCCTTATGCACTGTTTAATAGTTGCTGTTTGCATCGCTAATACAAGCTTACTTTCCAAAAGAAAATGTGCAATTTTTCCACTACATCAGACTCACCACCGGTAAGTAAAAATGATCAACCACAATGATGAGGCCCACTTATTTAGATGATCCACCTGGAGAAAGAACATCCTCCACTATAGCTTTAACAGAACAAAGATGGTCTATTAAACTAAATAGTGAGTCTCATGCATGTGTTGGAAAAAGTGAGCATATGAAATTAGAGGAAATTATATAAAAAAATGTTAATAATGTGCAATTGTACTCGGATCTTTGCTCAGAGTGAGCGCTCTGTCAGTACTCGGATCTTTGCTCAGAGTGAGCGTCTGTCTGCTCTCGGATCTTTGCTCAGAGTGAGCGCTCTGTCTGCTCTCAGATCTTTGCTCAGAGTGAGCGCGCTGTCTGTACTCGGATCTTTGCTCAGAGTGAGCGCTCTGTCTGCTCTCGGATCTTTGCTCAGAGTGAGCGCTCTGTCTGCTCTCGGATCTTTGCTCAGAGTGAGCGCTCTGTCTGTACTCGGATCTTTGCTCAGAGTGAGCGCTCTGTCTGCTCTCAGATCTTTGCTCAGAGTGAGCGCTCTGTCTGCTCTCAGATCTTTGCTCAGAGTGAGCGCTCTGTCTGCTCTCAGATCTTTGCTCAGAGTGAGCCCTCTCCTTTCTGTAACTGAGGCAGATCGTCTCTTCCTCAGATCCGCTTCGGATCCGCTGCTTTATTCCGCAGAGAAATCGGACCGTTCAGGTCCAACCTTTCGCTTCGGACGTCTGTACAGGAGCCGGCTGGTCCAGAAGTCCACGCTGGGTTCGGTTCTGGATGGAAACCGTGAAATCAGGCAGGTTTGAACTTTTTCTTCTCTAAAACTGAAGCATTCCGAGTTCTGCTGCAGTTTCTGGTTGAGTTTGTTCAAATTAATGGATTTATCTATTGAACTCAGAATCAGCTGTCTGACCCAGATGTTTGCAGATGTTGTTAGGACTGAGTTCTGCCACTGACTTTTTTTTATTTAATGAAAGCTCTCATGGTTTAGATGAAAAATCTAAACCTGCAGCCCGCCTTTGATGTGTTGCATAGAAAGGTTAGAAAGTTTGTGCTGCCAGACATCCTCCAGTCAGGATCCATCCCGGCCTGTCTGCTATAATCCTGGGAATCATCCTGGGAATCATCCTGGGAATCATCCTGGAACCGGTTCCCTCATTCTGGACTGTTGATGAGGGAACTCAGTTCTGCTGAAACCGGTCCTCAGGTTTCACCTAAACAGACAGGATTTCCATTTATTACAGCAGTGAGATGCAGAATAAGAAAACCTTCAGATTTAACTTCCTAAAATGAAATAAATCTAAGCTGATGACGTTATTATTTTGGCTCAATGTGATGAACTGCTTATGAAGGAACTGACTGCTGGCAGGAAGTAACCCACTTATGTAGATTTTAAACGTTTTTCACTTTTTTCTCAAATATTTACCACATCGCAGTAAAAAGACAAGCTAACATTTTCTAACACATCAGCTTCTTTGATGGAAACATAAAAGAAATGTGGAAAAGAATAAAACATTTCCTTCCAGATATTTCAGAGCTTCAGAGAATTGCTCTTAAATCTTTCACAAACATTTAGTCTGTCTTAATCCTGCCTCAGACGAACCAAAGCTGTCTTATTACATTTTTTCAATTTTAAAGTTTGTTTAGTAGAAAGAAAGGAAACCTAAAATGTTCTTATAAACTCAGAGAACGAGATCCCATCAACGTACCGTCTGTGTTTGACAGATCAGATCCATTTTACAGGCTTAAATCACTTTGATATTTATAAGAAAGGACAGTTTGAATCAAAATGAATCTAACTTCAGGTAAACATGTCAGCTCCGTTCCCATTAGTCTGGTTTAATGTTCCGAAGCTGCAGATCTCTGTTCCCATCAGGAATCTCCATCATCACTCATCTAAGTCCAGAGTTCATTAAACTCAAATTACTTCTGTTTACTTTTGTAGCCCTGATTCCCAACACATCATTTCAATGCAGAAAGAACTGAAGCAGAAAGAGGGGGGGAAAACTGGTCCCCATGTCCTCAAGCAGCTTAACCCTATAGCAGCGTAGCTATAGAGATAGCTCAGGATAAAACGAGCCACTCTGACTATAAACTTTATCAAAAAAGAAAGTTTTTGGTGATGAGATGGAGCTTGGTTATTCAGGTCTTTATTCCTCAGAAGGAGGATTTTAAATTCTATTCTGGATTTAACAGGAAGCCAATGAAGAGAAGCCAGGATAGGAGAGATATGATCTCTGTTTTTCATTTTCATCAGGACTCTGGCTGCAGCATTTTGGATCAGCAGTTTGTGGACTTCCTGATAGTAAAGAATTACAATAGTCCAGCCTTGAAGTAACAAATGCATGGACTAGTTTCTCATTTCTGCAATATTCTGCAGATGAAAGAAGGAATTTAAAGTCCCTCCAGCAATAGAACCTGCTCTGCTGGTAATCATGGACCAGAACCAGCGTCATCACAGCCATAAATATGGCGTCTGTTCTCTGAGTTATTAGGCGTTAGCCGTTGATGTCTCTGATGATGTCTCTCTGGGTTCTTGGTGTTTCCTGCTTCAGGGGCTCTGAGTGCTGACCTGTCCGGTTCGACCCACAGCTGAGGCTCCTGAGTAAATCTGACGGTTCCTTAAACTGGGATTAGCTGGGAGATGATGCAGGATTCCAGCAGTCAGGAAGGGGAACAGCGGCGGGGACGGATGACCATCGGCTGATCGCTCTCCTCACCTTCCAGATCTTTCTCTGTGACAGCAGAAGATGTCGGTCGATAACAGCCCCCCGCCCTCCCTACCCTCGCCGAGGTCGTGTCCTGTTCTCCCCCATCACCAGGCTCCGCCCACCCCTTCGCCCAGCCCACCCACCACCGTCTGCGGCCGGCTGTCCGACGGCAGCCAGACGGCCCCCAGTCCCACCAACTCCAGGGGGTCTCTGCAGGGCGTCTCCTTCATGCTGCAGATCGGGCTCACCAGGGAGACCGTGACCCTGGACCCCACAGACATGTCACTGTTGGCGGTCCGAGAGCTCATCTGCTCCATCGTGGATCAGAAGGTAGGACGGGTTGACCAATGGGGGGGGGGGTTCAGCAGGGAGTGTAGGAACTCGCTGGGATCTAAAGAGACCTGCTGCAAACCAGTTTAAAGCACCGAGTCAAGGACAGTCAGAGTGAGAGATGTTAGAAGAAAATGTCTAACCGCCATCATGGTGGAGCAACCACAGGGAATAATCTGGACCTTTGTTTCCTGGTAAATACGGCAGAACCGTGTTCCTCAAACTAACCCAGTGTTGGAACCGGGGGCCAGTAGGACTGAATGCAAACAGCAGCTTCAGGCCCAGAGGTTCCTCAGAGGTTCCTCTAAAGTCCCTCTGAGGTTCCTCAGAGGTCCCTCTGAAGTTCCTCTGAGGTTGTGAGCAGCTTCAGGCAGGCTGGTGGAGATGAGGCCCAGATCAGGCTGCAGACTTCCGCTCTAAGCTGAGCTCTATCTCTCAGCATCTCCTGGTTTTACGGCAGAGAAAACGCCACCTGTTTATAGCCTCAGAATAACACACACACAAACCCATCCTCATTTTGCTATATGTTGTGAGGACCGGGTGTTTACCCCCATTGATTTTCAGTCGTTTTAAGCCCTTTCTAAGCCCAAACACGAACAATAGACCTAACCCTAACCATTACCAGTTCATCCTAACCCTAACCATTACCAGTTCATCCTAACCCTAACCATTAGCAGTTCATCCTAACCCTAACCATTACCAGTTCATCCTAACCCTAACCATAACCACTTCATCCTAACCCTAACCATTACCAGTTTATTCCTCACCATTAGCAGAGCTTAGATTACCCAGACATTAACCTAAACCCCCTCCTCACCTCAGCTTTAACTGTCCTCCCTATTTTGTCCTTCAGCCTCTGCAGATGTTATCATCCCATTAAAAGGCCGTTATTACCGACTACATTACAACTGTTGTAAACTGTACGCAAACAAATGTAATTTAGTCTAATTCTCTGCATGTGTTTATCAGTCCTATGGCTTCAGATTGTGCCTCCTTCCTACTAGAAGGCATCACTGAATGAATCTCAGCCTAAAGTCATTTTTAGCCGCAGAATTAACTAACCCATTCATGTGTAATCTGAGCATAAATCTAGTAGTTCCTTCTGTATTGTAAAAAAAAAAAATATTGGTTAGCATGTCGCTCATATCGAACAATCAGTTTTTAAACGCCACATTAAAGCCGTGTGACTGAAACCTGTCACTGGAAGCAAAGCTTTAAAAGGCAGTTGTTGTTTTTAAGAAGCTTGTCTGTAAATAAAGTAGATAAAAAGTATAAAGTATTTAAATAGAAAGTGAAACTTAAGGTTTTAGATGCGGCCAAAGCGGCTGTTATCAATGATAAGCTGCATGTTATCAGCCATAAGAAACCTGCTGGAAGGTTATGGACGAGCGGCGTGAAGCCATCCAGTAGGACTGATAACTGCTCATAAAGGTTCATTTAATGGCTGATCACATCCCAAATGGATGCAAAAACGGTAAAACAGGAACAATGGTCCTCATGTCAAAACAATACTCACACAGGTACAGGTATTTCTATCGATATTAAGACTTTACACCAAATTATGTCTGTTTTAGTCACACTGGCTGTTTTTGAACTCACTAGAATGTGAGAACAG